GCACCGACTTTATCTGTCAGAAAGATTATCGGCAAATTACGGATTGTGCTTGATAATAATTCGCTCAATAAAGCGATACGTCATGACAAATGAATTTTTCGAAAAATGATATGCAGCAGATAAATATGGCTGGTCAGCTTGTACAAAGCTCTTGAGCTAGTTGATTATCATCAGTAACTGCTCAGAGACAATATTCATTTTCTTTTCGGTGCTGTGATAGCGTTAGCTGGTTACTCTGGAACTGGCTGGTCATGCTTTAAAGGCGGCTCAACGCGACATCCAATCTTCTGGTGACACAGCTATCCAGGCCACATCGTGGCTGTTCACAAGCAGATTACTGCACTACCTGGCTTAGAGCTGTATATGTGAAGCATTATATATATGTCGTTGCCGCCATCACATCTCTTACAGTAAGTGGAACGTTGGTTACCCTTCTGCGCTAAGAACACCTGATAGTCAAATAATCCATAGTGCTTTAGCGACATGCTCAGATTCTCTCAAATTTCATCAAACAGCGCAGTACCATCTCAATAAGCTTCACACCATTTTTACTTCTAGTCTTTCAATTTCACCGCGATAAGTGGCCCCAGCTTTGGCGTAGGAAAAATTTTCGACGCTGATCGACTTGATCATATCAGTTGAATACGGGACGTAGCAAAATCGACGGCGTCTATTCAAAGGTTGAGCCTCATACACCAAGTGTGCTACACTATAGCATTAAGCTGAAGTATGCATTAAAAATATGCAAATGCCGAGATTAGACGGAATAAATATGACTTTGTTGTGGCTGGTGAGTCTAAGATGTCTATCTACCGACGCTTGCATTATTCGCAGCCTTTACAAACTTGTTTGTGCCGTCGCAATGTTGTCCTTGTTACAATCAAATCCGAAAAAGGATTGAGCCTTTAGCCCAATATTTATAAACTAATCCAAATGCACCCTATAATTATATGGGCTTGCTAGACTCGTACCATGTTTCCGCTCTCACAAGCTACTCGGACGTAAAGCAACCTGTTGAAGCCAAAGCACCATCTCGACAGTCTCCCAAAGTGATAAGCATATGCTCTAAAGCAGGTTTTAGCTTTGAACCGCTCGTCAGGTCATTAGGAAGCGCTAGCTCATGAGCGTGTCGAAGAACTGACTTATGTCCGCGTCAAATGCACGGCGAGACTCACAGGGCGAGCTGACGCGATGCCACCAACGAAGAGCCCACGAGCCAGGGCGCCCTTCTGCTGCTTGATTTCATTATCATGGCGAGCCCTACTTATACGGGGTGTGGAGTCTAGACTGACGTGTTTACAAGAAGTATAGATAGTATCGAAAAAGTGGGAGAGTTGCCTCCATTCCGAGAGGTCTTGCGAGTCGAGTCACTTCAACAAGATTTCCCCGACAGCACTGTCGCACCTCAATTAGCGTTCATTCTTTTATTATACTCTCAGTGAATGAGAAGGATCATGCAGCGCGACAAGTTCCCACAAGGGAGTGGGAATAGGCCTACTTCCACGTTCGAAAACTGGCCAAAAACTATTTAAGTCGACGCTTGGAGATAAATACGGTAGTTGAAAGTAACATTGAGGTTGGATTTCGACGCCACACTTTGAGTTTCGCAAAATTAAACATTTGGTGACGCTGGAATTTGAAGTCTTTTTCAGTATTCTCCGCTGACAAAATCTGTAAATGAGTAACGCAACGTGTCATGATCACCAGATAGTCGATCGTGGCCACGTACGCTATGGTTCTATTGACAGAGCATACAATCAAAACGTACAACCTCAGAAATATAAGTCATTGCTCCAGTTGCTGGTCCTCCAGTCGTGAGGATATGATCCTGAGCGTTGAAAATTTGGTGTAACATGGGTAGTACGAAACTCGTATGTGTGTTCAGCTTATTCGTTTGCACAATCGTTCAATAGCCTTTTGTGAAAAAATCATTTTGATAGTCTGTGTAATTTTGAACACTCCCTAATACTGAAATTGGCATTTATCAGAATTTTGAGACTTCAGAAAGGAGAGATCTATGGTGTTTGCCGGCTGTCAACCGCGGGTCGTAATAAAGCAATTTAAATATGCGATATGGTAGAACGTGTCCAGATTGTATAAGTCTAAAGCACAAGATATCTTAAGTATGTGTTTTTTTAAATTAGAACAGTACTAACGATCTAGTGAATTTTGAGTATCTCATCTCAGCTCCTGGTGGTGCAGCGTACGAGCCCAAGCAGGCACTTTGAGTTGATCATGCTTTGCACAAAGAGCATGGCAATCCCGCCGCTTCTGGTAGCTATTGTAGTCAATTCCACGACCAAGTCATGATACGGCTGGATCCTTTTTTAGATCGATCAAGAAGTGTTTGAGTACCTGTACTAAGCACAACTTTCACGTTAGGAAAGCTTATACCTTATGTGTCCTCGATAGGGTAAGGTTCATTGATGCTCGACTGGAGATCTCACCAGCTATCGAACCGCGTCTGTTACACAACTTTCGGTTCGCTCCAACCAGGCGCCAGTCGAGAACGGATTACACCCAACATTAAATCGCTGATGCTCAAGACCATCTACTAAAGCGATGGACTGCGACGGAAAAGGCATGCACTTCGCACAAAGAAAACTTTGACGTGAATAAATAGCTTTAACAGATGCACAACAGCTAGAATTGCACGCTCCAGCCAGGGCCGAACTGAGAGCCTCAAGCATAAGTAGGTGGGGGTTGTTGGACTCAAAAAATATCGTCTTTTTCATATGACGTGCAGCTAGGAGCCCTCGCGAGCCTCTACCTCTTCTTTACAGGTAACCATCATCTATTTATATTACCAGATACCATAACTTTGATACGTGTGGATATCTACAATCTTACCAAAGCGTAATTCAAATTTAAAGAAATGATACTAAAGCGTATTGAATTTTATTTTACCAGAAGTTTAAAGTGCTAGTGGACACGCTTTTCATACTTACCTCGTAAGCCCCCATAAAGATATGGACGACACTAGAACTCATATTTTTGTCTGTCGAAAAACACTTCAAAACCGATGTCATGACAAGCCACCACTTCTCTTGGACCCTATCGCCGCCATTTTTACTTTATTGTTCCAGTTTCTAGAACGTACTTGATCAACTATCTCCTTTTGTATTCTTCAACAGATAACTTAGTTAGGTGGCACTCGACGTGATCCTGTCTTCCAAGACGTATTTACATACTCCGCCTACTTGCCCTACCGGCGGAAGCATTGCAATCAGGGGAGATCATAACGACATTCAGCTCCTTACCGATAGTTTGAAACTGGCTGAAAAGGGCCAGCTTGCTGATTCGCGAGGGCAAGAGCCACGCCGACTCTTGCAAAAGCATAACGTCAGCTTTTGGCCTTTCTTTCTCATGAAGTTGTTTGCTGCGCTAGACGGTTCACTTAACGTCTTTGTGTGAAGTTCTTCCGTTTACACCAAGAGCAAAATGACCACCATAATATTGCTCCACAAGCGACTTTTAAACCTGCCAGTCATCACTTTCCTGATGTTTTGCATGCGCTTGAAATGTAGCGGTTGGGTAAACCCGTGCCCTCCATGAGGGGTGTTCATTGAGCCCTAAATTTGACTAAGGTGCTAATGAGTATCGAACTCAGAGCGCATTCTGGGTGACAAAACTACGCTGTCTCGCTTATCGTAAGGCTTCACAAGACAGCTTCGGTGAACAAGACGTCCGTGTAGAGCTTTAATTCATGCTTCACTTTGCAATATACTCAAATCATACGGCAAGATGACAACCCTTCACCTCTGGTTCATTATGTTTATAGCCCCTCGTATCACGATAAAAAGTGAAAACAACTCTTAGCTACCAGTGTTATTCACCACAAGTGGGCCCCCACTCATGTGGGAAGCGTGATAAGCAACCTTGTCTCTCTCTCAGAGAGATAAAGCTCGATTGTTCGTCAGCTCGTAACCGGTAAAGACATTAGGGCAATCTTAAATAATTGAACCAGGTTCTTAAAGATCTCATGAGTATTTCAAAGAGGGGACTCTATACGTGTAACAGATACTATTACAGTTTTCTTGTATCTGCCGGTCAACTAAACGCTCCTCTTTAACCTTTCAATATCGAGCAGTTAAGACAACCATCTCACGACTGATTTAAATTAGCTCTACAGGATGCAGTAGGGCGTCAGCTCTCAGGGAGAGTCGGCGTGAAGGATGGTTCTGATCTCGCATTTGTTTTCTGAGCTTCGTCATTCCACTTACTTCCTGAGTTAGGGCGCTCCCATCGGTAGAGTCGTGTCGCTGCTTTAAAGCAGAGGGTAGCAGAGCTTTTAAAGTTGGTGGGGACAATGCTTTGTCTAGAATAGAGCTCTTTACAATTAGCTGACTTATAAAGCGGGATCGTGGTATGGATTCAGGAGGCCCCCGTAAGAAAATATGATGTGTTCACATTTATCTTCGGAAACTTTAAAATATAAACTAACGCCAGTTTTGCTGCGACCTTGAACGGTACGATGTAGCGCGAAGGCAACTTATCTGATATATCACAGCATGTGTAGTGGCTAATTGTATGCATCAAACAGCTTTTACTCAATTCTTATTTTTGTAGTTTCGCTATCATCTGGTATCTGTAGACTGCCATTGGACATCTAGGCAGTCTGCCATATCATCGCACACCCGGCGATTGACGCCCAATTTTGTAGAGATAAAGCACTGGCTTTGCTGCGAAGTTTAGCCAGGATGCTATCAGCAACAAAATTGGATCCCCAGCCTCTTTTTTTGAAACCGAGTCTTTTTGTGGTGGAGTCAAAGAACCGGGTTTAACCAAAACGTTTATGTTATGTTGGGTAAACCCTGTTGACGCACGAACTGTGTTATTCAACGCAATCTCAGTGAGTAGGAGCACCCCATCGTCAGCACTGCAGTCTTTTTGCTTAACAATATTCCCCACAGGAATAATACGCATCGTTGGTTCGTGGATACTTAGCAAGTGACACGTTCTGTCTGATGCCGAGGACCCTGAACAGGTTTGTCATATCTTCGCTGCAAGGCTCGAGTCTCTATTTGATATAATGAATAACGCTTAGCTATGGGCGCAAAATGCTTTGTCAAAGAACAGCTAGGCTGTAGCCTCATCGGTTATGATATCGCTGACAGTAGCGAAAAAAGTTATCTTATTTCGATGATCCACAAAGACCACAATACTCGTATCTTATAACGCGTCGTTCGAAAGACCAAAACTTTATAAAATGCGTTGTCAACACTCTGCCAAGATTGGCAAGCTGTCTGATGGTGTTCCTGCATGCAGCGAGAGTTCTACTCGTTGATAGGTTACCCACGCGTGCACATATTTTCTTAAAACATTTCTACATAATGAGCCACCAATATACAGCGCTCAACCAGCAGAAAGTATTTTCTCTACAAATATAGCCAGACAACGGGGATTCATAACATAGAAAATGAGGTGTGTGTCCATTGAACAAAGGTGGGCTGACGCACCGGAAGTGAAAGTTATTTAAGCGAGTTCAAGGCTCTTGACCTCAGACATACTGAGAAGAATGAATGGGATCTTTTAGCTGCAACTCTGGGGTACTTGCAGATGTGATATTCAATCATGACAAAACATTTGCGTCTTAAAGCGAAACCTTTTGTTTCAGCTGAGAAGTACGAATGGCGGGATTACACATGACGAAGACTCTTGCGAAGAAACGCGGAGTCCTTAGAGACTTATGTCAGTCTACTGCTGGTGATTCGGGTTCTATTGTACTTTGTACAGGTCGTGAGCAACAAAAATTAGTCTTTAACGTAGCTATTTTCTCTTGAATATTTGAAGCTTATAGTCCAGAATGATTGATTATTGACAGCAAGGTCACTGACTTTGTGTAGATGTGTGATTTTTTTATTGATTTAGAAGCGTCAAAATACCGTACGACGCGCGACTGTCGACTTTATTACCGAAGGATTTGAAGATGCCAAATGCATTCAATATACGAAACTTTTGCGACGGGGATAAATATTAAAGTGCTAAAGGCTTCTGTTGTATCTGTCAGTGATACTTGAAGACTTAAATAGCGTTGTCAAGTCCTGCACCCATATTTGTGATATGTTGACATCCGAGGGTAGCGTGTTTGAAACGCCACGAGATAGGTTCCTCTGGACGTGCAATAAGCCATACCTTGCCGCTACATCAAGGTATGGCTCTATGGTAGACATCATCTTCGAAGTGCATTGTGGGGGCAAATAACAAATGGATTAAATTACAACAGATTCCACATGCACGTCGCAA